CCGAGCCCGCCTCTGGAGCTGTGTGATCTTGTTGCATGTTTCCATGGATGTACCTGTACTTTCAGATTGATTAAGCCAAGAAGGTTTTACATTGTGCAGATCCTTGTCTAACTGCTTAGCCTCTCTTCCCTCACCTGTCAACTGCCAGACCACCTTCTTTGCATTGGGATTTATTTTTTAATACCTGATACACATATCTGAAAGTGGCATCTTTTATGCTCCTTCCTTTTCAGCTTAAATATGTTACTTAAAAATTCTTAAGCTGTCAGTCTGACCCCCATGTGGAATTCATGAGCAAAACTGATCTTTGGGGCCATTCTTACTCACACCCCACCTGATGGGCCTCTCCAGAAAACTTATTATTAAAGTCCCACTTTAACCCTTTATTTACAGCATAAGGTCAAAACCGAATGTATGATCTAGCAGGTAAAGGCTTAGGACTCATTCTTTTGCCAGTCCTCAGATTTAGGTAACACAGTGACTTTTTCTTTGGCTGACATATACATGCCTACATGCCAAGGTAGTTAAAATAGCATGCTTGAAAAGATATATAATGTCTGTTTCACCTGTAACTGTTTAAGCAAACGAAACCTTCAAATTGTATGTATTGTGGGGCTTTTATGTAGCACTTTACATTTTCATGCTGCTTACTGTTTTTATTCCACTGAAATAAATGAATTTCATCAAAATTCTCAACTAATTTTTTTAAAATCCTTTAAAAATTGTTTATTATTTTGACTATGGAAATATAAAATTTCTATTTCAGGAGAATAAGAAAGCTCTTTGTTATTTTTAGCCATGAATAAACTTTCTGGTATTTTGAGACCTCCCGTTTTTATAGACTGGAATCAGTAAACAAGCAAATCTCACACATTTGGACTTACTTGAGCAGAAACCCAGGCTGAGTACTGAAAGCCTATATTGTTTTATTACTTGCAAGTAAGTATATGAAAGATGAATGCGTTAAGTGAACCTGACTTTTAACAAAGAATAATGTATACATTAACATGTACTATTAAGCCTTTGTGGGAGGCTGTACATTGCTCAAAAGCTGTTTGAAACTCTTTAACAATATCCTCCAGAACCAGTTTGAGCTGCTCAATAAAACCAGTGATTTTATTTATACCTTGTTTTGATCAAAGGTTGTCTTCTTTATGTTATTGGTCTTCTCCCCCGTCCTTTCTACATCCTTGGATATTCTCTAGCATCTTTTCACTTCTCTTCACGCTCGGTGCCACGACCCTCATTAGCCTTCGTCTCCTCTGAAGCGGTGCAATAACTTCTAACATATCCAGTCTTGCCCCATTCCTCACTGCAGCCAGTGCACAGACCTGACCCTCTTCCAGGCGCAGACCCTCCATGCACAGGACAAGGCTGTGTGTGACCACAGTTCCACCTGGCTCTGGCCTAATCCGACCTCAGCAGATGCTGCTGGGGCCTTCCCACAGCTCAGCCTGCGCCAGTGGGGCCAGTCTCTGTCCTGAGAGAAATGGACAAGTGTTAAAGCTCTACATCCACTGCCTCACACCACATACAAACATTAACTCAAGTCCGAGACCTTGAGGTAAGAGCAAAAATGAGGAAATTCTTAGAATAAAACAGTATATCTTTGTGACCATGGGTTAGGCAGTAGTTTTTTAGATATGCAATAAAAAGCACATATAACCAAAGGAAAATAAATTATATTTTATCAAAATAGAACTTTTCTGTTTTAAAAATCATCATTTAGAAAGTGAAAAGACAACACAGTGGGAGAAAATATTTGCAGATAACATATCTGATTAGGGACTTGTATCCAGAATATCTAAAGAACTCTTTTAACTCAATCTGATTTAAAAATTGCAAAGGGTTTGAATAGACATGTGTACAAAGAAGGTGCACAAATACCCAAAACCACACAAAGAGATGCTCACTGGTCATTAGGAAAATGCGAATTAGAACCACAGTGGGGTAGCACTCCACACCCACTGTGATGGCTAGAATAAAGAGAAAGTGTTGGTGAGGATGGGACTCACATGGGGGGCGGGTGGGGATGTGAAATGGCGCAGCCGTGTGAAAAAGCTGCTCGACGGTTCCTCAAGAAGTTCAACACAGTCACAGCAGTTCTACTCCCAGGTAATATAAAAGAGAAATGAAAATGTGTTCATGCAAACTTGAACGTTAATATTCATAGCTGCATTATTAATAGCCAAACTGGAAACTCAAATGCCTATCAACTGATGAATTAATTGTTATATCTATACAATGGAATATTATTTGGTAATAAAATGAAATTACAATATATGCTACAACATGGATAAATCTTGAAAACTGAGTAAAGCCAGCCACAAAGGTTGCATATTGTATAATTTCATCTATATGAACTGTCCAGAATAGGCAAATCCAGAGAGACAAAGTAGATTGGTGATTGCCAGGGCTGGAGGGGAGGGTGAATGGGCAGTGACGGCCAATGGTATGAGGTTTCTTTTGGGGAGATGGAAATGGTCTAAAATTAGATAGTGGTGACTGTTGCACAACAACTTTAGAATATACTAAAAACAACACTTTAAAGGAGTGAGTTTATGGTATATGAATGATGTTTCAATAAAGCTTTTATAAAAAATGTTGCGCCATCTCCAACCATGGTTTTCTTTCTATTGTAATTACATAATTGAACTACTGAAAATAACAGTGTTAAAAAAAAATTTTATGGGACCTAAAGTTGCATGTGGAATTCAGCGATAAATATTTCTTGAAAACCAACATCTGGCATAATTCAAGGGTTCTAGCCAGTCCTTTATTAACTTGTTCCAAAAGGAAGAAATGAAGAGCTCTTTTGAACACAATCTATGGAAAAGAACTTCCATAGGTTTCTCCCCTTCCCCACTAAATCTTTGGCAGGAGTGGGGCTTTTAAACAAATTGCCTGGATAATTCTGAGGAGTGGTCAGGTTTGGGAACCACTGAATTAGTTCCCATACTGAATTATTCCCACTCCCAAGTTTCTATTCAACTCACTGTAACTTGGCTTCCTGCCACATCTCACAACAGAAACTACAGGTAACTGAAGTTAGGAATGATGTTCTTCCTGGTTGCCAGATCTAGCAACCTGTTTCCTGCCCTCCCTTCTTGGCAACACTGACTGTTGACTATCCTCCTTCCTGAAACTCTCCTTTGGTTTTCATAGTAAACTTCTTTTGCTTCATTCTGGCAGCCCATCAATCGTTTAAAAGTGTAGATTCTTGCCCTGGCCAGTTTGGCCTCAGCGGTTGGAGCGTCGGCCTGTGGTCCAGAGAGACCCGGGTTCGGTTCCCACTAAGGGCGGGTACCTTGGTTGCAGTTTGTCACCAGCCCTGGCTGGTCGTGTGGGTGGCAGCCACTCGATATGTCTCTTTCATGTCGATGTTTCTCTCTCTCTTTCTCTCTCTCCCTCCCACTCTATCTGAACAAAAAATGGAAAAATGTCCTCGGGTGAGGATAAAAAAAAATAATAATAAAAGTGTAGATTCTTCAGGATTCTGTATTTGGACTTGGACCCCTTCTGTTTCCCTGGAAGATCTCACCCCTTTCTGTGATTAAATTATCAGACACTGATGGTACCAAGTCTATTTCTCCAGTCCAGATCTATCTCTTGAGCTCCAGGCTTATACTCCAGCTGCCTACTGGGCATCTGGAGGTCCCATGGCACCTCAATCTCCACAAATCAAAATTTACCTCATCTCCCCACCAAATTTGCCCATCTCTAATGGATATCAACTAATGGTTGTTCCATTGCCAGACCTATCTCCAAACCAGGACCTCCTACTCTATTCAGTCACCAAACGAATTCTACTTCAGTAATAACTTGACTACGTCATCGTCAAGTTCTGTCGTCTCTCCTCGTCTTCACTCTTCGTTTAGGGCAGAACCTTCGTCATCTCCCTAAGTATCTACCACACTAAAATTCTCTCCACTCCCAGGATGCAACAGGCGAGCAATAAGTAGTTTTAAAACATTTTATTGTCAGTAGGTTAAACATAACCACATGTGTCTTTACACTTCTGATGTTCATACTTCTATATCTTACCATAGGCATTAAGCTTGATTTATTGATGTTTGACATTATATATTGTAGGATTAAAGACCAAAGTTTTTTTTTTTTTATTTTTATCCTCACCCAAGGACATTTTTGCAATTTTTGTACAGATAGAGTGGGAGGGAGAGAGAGAGAGAGAGAAACATCGACGTGAAAGGGACACATCGAGTGGCTGCCACCCACACGACCGACCAGGGCCGGGGACAAACTGCAACCGAGGTACGCGCCCTTAGCGGGAACCGAACCAGGGTCTCTCCAGACCGCAGGCCGACGCTCTAACCGCTGAGCCAAACCGGCCAGGGCTAAAGACCAAAGTTAATCGAATGCTCATGATAGGAAGAACAGTTTACATAATCCTGAGTTCTTTGGTTTATACTTTCCTTCAAAATCAAAATGTATTTTATATTTTGATAAGATGTGTTTTCACTGAAGACATTGATGTGTACATGTTGGAAAAGCAAGCCTCTTTGGTCAGAGGCAAAGCACAGTCTCTTAGATCGAGAACTAAAGCAACCCTGTGAAAATAGGTCATTTGTGTGTTTACGCAGCATTTCCCGAGCACACTCATTCACTCGTCTCCATGTCCACGACGTCTTCCCCGCAGCCCACTCAGAATCCAAGCCGACTCCCTGGTGAATGTGACAGACTGGTTTTACGTAGGCAGAGAGATGGATTAGTGATTTCAGCAAAAAGCTGGCATGTTCCAGAGATTTAATTTTTTTATATAACAGTTTTAGTCAAAGCTGTCCTGAAGCTCAGCCGAAGCAGTTTCACAGGAGGACAAACTCGCTGACTAATGACCAATCACTAAGCAGCAGGGAGGACAAAGCCTGGGCGTTTGTGTCGTGTCCCGGGGAGTGAGGGGTGGGGCGGGACAAGCATCAGTATCAAATATTAATTCGGGAAAGTGACCCCGCCAGCCTGACCTCGGAGAAGTGCTGGCACGAGGCAGCGGCGGTATCGATGGTCAACCCCGGGGGGATTGGCCCCGCTGCAGGTCCCTGGAAAGCAGCTTGTGGCGTTGCAGACATTCACAAAATGCCTTATTTTACAAAACTCATTTTGTTCTTGTTTTGCCTGATGGTTCTGGTGGCCAGCAGAAAGCCCAAGAGGAGGAAATGGACAGGGCAGCTGGAAATGCCCACGCCAAGGTAAAGGCACGGGTGAGGGGGAGGGGGACCCCAACACCCTCCTGCCACGGGCAGGGAGAGAGCACGGCTGGGCTGTGGGAGGCTCCGTTCCGGGGTCTGCGTTCAGCCAGAGCATTTTGATTTGAGGCAGGTAGTTGAAAACTCAGTAGGTAAAACATCTTTGTATCTCTCAGGATTCTATCCTGGAGGAACCATAAATGGCCTGCTAAGTAATTACACTCAGTATTTTGGTTTATATACAGGAATTTATCCAGATTCAGTAAGAAAAAAATGTACCTGGGAGTTGTCTTTAAATTATTTGAATTGGAATAACTTTATAATGGTATAGGGATTCATTTTACTGTTTTGAATCTTAGAAAAGGTGTTTGAAATTTGCTAGATTATCAGAAATATATGTCTGGACAACAATGAATGACATTTCGAGATGTAATGGAAACATTTCCAAGAAATATTGGTTAAGCTCAGAATTTACCTTCAAAATCATTACCTTACGAATCAAAGTTCCTTAATAGTTTATTGTGAACTGATGTACAAAGCATGATACTCCAGGCCTAACTGTTCAGCATGAAGGACAGAGCAAGTAGCTAAGATACACCATGTGTGAATGTTACACATTTGTTTTCCATTCCACTAAGCATTGTGTGAACTCGTGATTATGAATATGAACTAATACCTTGAGGCACATTTTCTAGGTCAGTGTTCTCTATTTTTTTAATTTATTTTTTATCCTCACTTGAGGATACTTTTCCATTTATCTTCAGGTAGAGAGAGTGGGGGAGACAGGGAGAGAGAGAAAAACATCGATGTGAGAGAGACACATCGACTGGTTGCCTCCCTCACGACCCCAACCAGGGTCGGGGACGAACTGCAACCGAGGTACGTGGCCTCGGCCGGAATCGAACCTGGGACTCTTTGGTCTGCAGGCCGACGCTCCAACTACTGAGCCAAACCGGCCAGGGCAAGGGTGAGACTTTCTTGAAATCCATCCCATAAGGTGTTAAAGTGGATGAAAAAGAATGAACATACACATTCAAATAATATAAAGTAATTATTGAACAGAGAGTGAACGAAAAAGGTAGAGCACGTGGGCATCAGGAACCATGGCTCTGGCCCCACTGCATCCCCTGGGGCATGGACTGGTCAGACGATCACAGAGCTATGCCACGGTGTTTACCATCTCCGGGATGTCCCCTCACCCACCCAGGTGCTCATCCTTGCCCCTCTCTTGTCCTCATACCCCATGCCCGCTCCATCTGCCAGACCTTCGAACCTCCCTCCAATCTTATCACTGCTCTACACCACACCCCCACCACCCTCCAGGGACCGTGTGGTCTCTGCAAGTTTCCTATTGGCCTCCTGTCTCTACACTGTCCTCCTGCAGTCTCCTCTACACATTAGCCAAGTGGTCTTACCAGGGCCTAAACCAGATCTTTCGACTATCCTGCTCAGATGTCCATGGTCCTCCCGGCTCAGTAATATACCCACAGTTCTTATAATCTGGTCCCTGGGCTGTCTCCCGGCTCCTTTCTTACCAGAAGGATCTCTTTGCCCCCAGCCCTCGAGTTTTCTTACTGCTCCTCACACAAGCCAGATTCACCCCGGAACATTTGTACGTCTATTCCCCCCTCAGAATGCCCTTTCTTCAGATCTCATGGTTTGCTCCCTCCCCCATCCTCTCCAGGTTTCAGAAGGCTCCCCTAACCACCCTCCACACCAACCTTTCTCTCTTGTTCCTTACCTTGCTTTATTGAGGGCCATTTATGGCACTCAGCACTTCCCGAAGCCACATTGTTTATCTGTCTCTCTCTGTGTTTATTGTCTCTCTCCCCCACAAAGTTATCCCCGTGAAAGCAGTGAAAATATGTCCTCCCCATGACTTGAACGGCATCTGGACTGAGTAGGTGCCCCATAGAAATGTTTAGCAAATGAATTTGAGTCCAGAAATTGAGGAGCTGTACCACCAGAGTGTGGGACGGCTGTCCACATGGATGTTGGCATCCCTAAGGTTGATGGGAGGAACGGAATGGAGGGAAAGAACCGGTTGGTGGCAGAGCCCTCGCTGGAAATGGGAGAATGATTGGGAGGTCTGCGGCCCGGCCAGGTGGGAAGCTCTGGCTTATAGGGGAATCTGCTTCTTGGGTAGGAAGGGAGTAGGAGGGGGATGAGGGGTGGTGCAGGCCAACCTCTAGACCAGCTGAATAATGAAACTTTTTGTAACTGTGGAAATGTTATATATCTGCACTGTTGAATATAGCAGCCAGCATCCACGTGTGGTTACTGAACCCATACGTTTGGCTAGTGCAACTGAGAAACTGAAAGTTAATTTCATTCTATTTTATTTTATTTTATTTTTGTATTTATCTTCAGATAGAGTGGGAGGGGAGGAGAGAGAGAAACATCAATGTGAGAGAGATAGATCGACTGGTCGCCACCCACACGACCCCAACCAGGGCCGGGGACAAACTGCAACCGAACCCATGACTCTCTGGTCCGAGGGCCAAAGCTCTAACTGCTGAGCCAAACCAGCCAGGGCAATTTCATTCTATTTTAATGGACATGTGGCTAATGGCTAATTTTTTTTTTTTTTAATCCTCATCGGAGGATTTTTTTTTTGCATTTATCTTCTGATAGAGGGGGATGGAGACAGGGAGGAAGACAGAGAGAGAAACATCAATGTGAGAGAGACACATCTACTGGTTGCCACCCACACAACCCCAGCCGGGGCCGGGGACAAACTGCAACCGAGGTACATGCCCTTAACAGGAACTGAACCCGGACTCCCTGTTCTGGGGGCCAACACTCTAACCGCTGAAGCAAACCGGCCAGGGCATGGCTAATTTACTTGATCAGCACAGCTTTAGACTTCCCATCAGATGGCACCGTCTGGGCAGAGCTGCTAGAGAATGAAAGTGAAGGATCTCGCAGGAAGATGTCTCAAAGAGCAACCCTCGGGAGAGGACACATGTTGTGTCCCTCTTACAGGGTTAAAGCAGGAGATATGCTTACTTCCCTAAAACAATGAATGAAATGTGATAAGAACACTGAGTAAAATAGGAGTATATAAAAATGATCCACAAACACTCAAAACGAAATCTCTTCATTTACTTCCAGAAAACTTAAATCGCCGACACATAACAAACATTATAGTAACCTGACTTCTTATAAAATTGCTTATTTTCTTCCGTCAAGAATTAGATCTCACATCCTGTCAAATGTACAAATGACCTTTCCTTCCTTCCTTCCTTCCTTCCTTCCTTCCTTCCTTCCTTCCTTCCTTCCTTCCTTCCTTCCTTCCTTCCCTCCTATTCTCTCTCTCTCTTTTTCCTCTTCCTATTTCTCCCTCCCTTCTTTTCTTCCTTTGTTCCTCCCTCTCTCTCCCCTTCTTTCTCCCTCCCCTCCTTTTTCTTTATTTGTGTAGTGATAATCCTGTTGCTAGACTATTGCTTTAGAACATCTTGGACTTCGCTGCTTTAGGGTTATGAATGTGGTGGTGGGAAAAGACCTGGGGAGAGTGAGTGTAAATGAGAGAGAAGAGAGAATTACTCCTTTGTCGCCTGGGTTAGAGGAGAGAGGGAACGAGGGTCCTCCAGCTGCAGCGTCCACCTCAGGGGCTGCAGCACCTCTGTTTCCAGCTTGGCCTTGGTCCCTTCTGGCTGTGGAGAGAGGGGGCTGAGGCTCTGCACCAGACAGCTGCCAACTGGACCGACGTCAGCATCAGGTCTGACTAAGATACAACCAACATTTTAATTTTATCTATTTATTTTTTTAATTCTCACCTGAGGATATTTTTTCCATTGATTTTTAGAAGGAGGGGGAGAGAGAGAGAGAGAGAGGTTGATGTGAGAGACACATCGACTGGTTGCTTCCCACAGGACCCTGTCCAGGGCCAGGGATCGAACCTGCAACCCAGATCCATGCCCTTGACCGGAAATAGAGCCTGAGACTCTTTGTCCACAGGCCAACCCTCTAACTACTGAGCCAAACCAGCCTGGGCTGCAACAAACATTTTAAAACTTTATATTTGTCTCAAATTTTTAGTTATCACAAAAGCAATAACAACACGAGAGAAATGTTTAAAAAGAAAAACCCCCACATTTGAATTCCTCCACCATTTAACCCAACTACCAGCCTCTAATCACAACTTTTGACAATTAAGAGCTTGTCAGGGTAGACTGGCACCCAGCCAGGGGGTATATACTTTAGGAAGGTTCTGGAAGGGTCTGTTCCTCAGCTTGCCTGTGAGGATCCAGGGCAGAGGGGGGTCGAAAGGGTGGTCAGCATGTGTGTTTTGAGCCTGATGGAGAAAAGGTGCCTAATGGTAGTGTTTGCGGGAAGCCACCTTCCCAACACTCTCACTCAGTGCCTTGGTGGGCCAGGGAAAAGTGTCTCTCCCTTGTCTTTGCAGTCACCTTTATAAGAAGAACCTCGACATGACCAAGATCCGGAAGGGAAAACCTCAGCCACTTCTCAGAGTGGAGGACCATGATTTCACCATGAGGCCTGCCTTCGGAGGTAGGACTGTGTCCTTCCCGTCCCCAAGGCTGCCTGCTCTCCCCCGGGGCATGTTCTGTTGGCTTCCAGAGTCACGAATTTTCCCAAGGAGAAAGGGCTGGGAGGAAGTGAGTAGAGAGAGCTGTTGACAGAAGAGGAGCTGATGTGACTAAGCTGTTTACATTCAGAAAGGACATGCCCCACAGCTGTTGACTTTCCTAAAAAAATAAGAGCCGGCTGGGAGAGTCTGGACACAACATGGCTCCCCGGCTCGGGCACCCCTTTTCTTGCTGGAAATTTGGGGTTTTGAGGAGGCCAGCTACTTTTCAATGCAGCGACAGTTTAGTAAAAGCCACATTATGAAGCCCCTCTGCAAACTGGTCCCCAAGGAACTTCCCTGCGTCCGGGGTCAGGGAGGAGTGGCATGGCAGGTGGCTGCACCTTTCAGGAACTGGGGGGCTGCACAGGAGGGCTGGGAAGGGGCCAGCTGTTCGCTCTGTCCAACCAGGTGAGGAGTGGGGTGAGAACCGCTGGCTGCATGAGCTCTGGGGCTGAGTCTTGGAGCATTTCGGCTGATGGGCCCTGACCAGACAGACCCAGGCAGGCTGGCCTCCATTTCCCCTTATCTTTGCTCTTCTCTTTGGTCCCAGCATTCTCCTGGGGTGGCAGCAAAACGTAGGGGTGACCTACGGGCAAGTCAGTGGCCCCCTCTGGGCCTCTGTTTGCTGGTTTGTAACATGGGGACAGTGACCCCCTACATCTGGGGCTGTTGTCAGAATTAAACGACATAATGCAGGTAAAGCTCCCAGCACACACCCATTCACGTCTCCTTAGAGAAACCCAGCCGCCAGGCTTTCCCCTTGTGTATCTGCTACGAGATTAAGACATTAATCTATCCCAGAGGCCTCTGCATTTTGAAAGTCCTCAAAGCCTCCCATTCAGTTCCCTGAGCTCTGACACCTGCCGGGCAAAAGGAGACGAGTAAGCAGATTCCAGCCTGTGCCTCTTCCTCCTGCTGGAACATGGCCCGCCACCGGCGGTGAAGGTCAGGGGCCGCCATCTCTGGTTTCCTGGGAGCTTGCCACGAGTAATCCCACCAAGGAATTTTATAACAATAAAGTTTTCCTGAGCAAGCAGTTCTGAAATAGCTGTATCTGCTCCAGGAGGCCCCAGCAAGACGTCCCCGTCAGCAGAAAACTCCACCTTGCCCTTGCCTTTCTTTTATTATAGACAAATTACAACTTCTTTTTTTTTCTTAATTGATTTTTTAGAGAGAGGAAGGGAGAAGGGGGGGGGAGAGACTGATTTGAGAGAGAAACATCAATCAGATGCCTCCCTCATGAGCCCCAAGGGGATCGAACCTGCAACCTGGGTATGTGCCCTGACCAGGAACTGAGCCTGCTACCTTTTGGTGTATGTCCAACCAACTGAGCCACATGGTCAAGGGCTCCACCTTGCCTCTCTTATAAAGTGTCAGTTAAGGTACAGAGGGTTAGCTAAGTGGCTAGAACAATAACAAACAATGGTATTATTATTTATTATTAATAATATTAAATAATATAAAAATCCAGTTAATGGCAACTAATACTTTTTTGGTGATTCCTCTGTGCCAGGCACCATTTGAATCAAGGTACGTACACACACAATCTTATTTTAGTCCCCACAACTACTCTGTGAAGTAGAGACTGTTATTATCTCTAGATGGGGAAACTGAGGCACAGAGGGGTGAAGTGACTGACCCAGGCCACACTGCAGCTGAGGTTAGACCCTCCCTCCTAGCCTAGTCTCTTTCTTGCCCCTCCTACCGTCTGTCCCCTGAGGCAGAGCTGACGTATCCATCAGGCAGAATAGCCATAGCATCTGAGAGCTCACCAATGACACTCTTGGGGCTCTCTTGAAAATATTTTAAAATCAGAAGAAAAGAGAAATTTTTGGTAGAAGAAAAATTTTTTAATATATTCATTTTTATACTAATACAGTTGGAAAACATGATTTTTAATATTTTTTTAAGAAAGAAGGGTCCCATGAAGGCAAACACGCATAGGGGCCCCAAAAATCCTGACCTGGCCCTGACTCTGCATAGTCCTGTGGGGTAGGTATGTGTGTTGGGGTGTGGGTGATGGTCTGAACAATGTGTTGTAACTTTCTACAAGGCTGTTGTTGCTGGCAGGAGCCTGAGCTGACACCTGGTCAATACCCTTAGTTTACAGAAGATGAGCCTGGGGTCCAGAGGGTTAAATGATAGCCACAGAACAGCTGGGGGCAGGATTTGTTTCTTTTCCTGCCCGATGTTGGCTGCAAAGCTGAAAGCCATATAAAAATGCTCCCTCCTCTGGGAGAAAGCCAGTACTCAGGAATGGTAGGGGAAGTCCTGCCATGTTCCCAGAAACCCCTGGGTGACCTTTTCAGTGTGGAAAGAGAACAGATTAAAAATCTAGCAGCTTCCTAGTAATTCTGGGAATCAGTTGACTCAAATACCTTGTCTGAGCCCTCAGCTGCCTGATTTGGTGGTGTGTACCGGTTAGAGGAAACTCCAGTGCCCGGGGCTTCTCCTCCATCTGTTAGAAGAAATATTTAATTTAATGTTTAAACATTGTGGTAAACTATATATAACACAACATTTACCATTTTAACCATTAAAAAAGTGTTTTTATTGATCTTTAAGAGAGAGGAAGGGAGAGATAGAAACATCAATGTGAGAGAGAAGCATCGATTGGCTGCCTCCTGCACGCCCTCTATAGGGGATGGAGTCCGCAACCTGGGCATGTGCCCTGACAGGGAATTGAACTGGCCCCTCTCAGTCCATGGGAGGATGCTCAATCCCCTGAGCCACACCAGCGGGGCCATTTTAACCATTTTTAAGTGTGCACTTCAGTGGCATTATGCACCTTCATATGTTGTGCAACCATCACCACCATCCATCTCCAAAATGTTTCATCTTCCCACACTGAAACTGCAAACCCACCAAACAATAACTCCCCACTCTCCTTTTCCCCCGGCCCCTGGTAACCACCCTTCTACTTTCTATATCTACGATTTGACTATTCTAAGGACCTCATATAAGTGGCATTATACAGTTTCTGACTGGCTTTTGTGACAGGCTCGTTTAGTTACCATAATGTCTTCAAAATTGATCCATGTTGTACCTTGACAGCATTTCCTTCCTTTTTAAAGCCAAATAATATTCCATGGTAAGAATATATCACATTTTGTTTATCTACTCATCTGTCATTGGACATTTGAGTTGTTTCCACATTTGGCTATTGTGAAGAATGCTGCCATGAACATGTGTGTATGAATATCTGTTTGAGACCCTGCTTGCACTTCTTTTGGGTATATACTCAGAAGTGGGGTTGCTGGGCCTTTTGAGGACCCACCACACTGTCTTCTACAGGAGCTGTACCTTTCTACAATCTCACTAGCACAATGCTGATTTTTCATTTAAACTGTGTAGATGGGAGGACAGGAGGGATGTAGTGTCATCATAGAGTCTCTTGAATTATATCCAAGGAGTTTTTCAGAGTGTTCCAAAGTAAGTTAGGTTCTCCAATCAAAATACTGTTGTTCTTAAGGCAAGTATGTGTGGTTTGTTGCTGTTTTGAGCTGTTCTTATGTGTCAGACAGGATCTGTGACGGTTGCGGACCAGTGGTGAGCAAGACAGCCACAGTTCTTGGAGTTTTTACACTCCAGTGGGGGAGAACAGTGCTAGTGAAATCCTCACACCACGACGTCAAATTGTGAGAGCTGCTGGGAAGGAACAGTCAGGAGCTGTGGGGGTGGTACAGCCAGGCATGGTCATGGACACCAGGTGCCTCAAGGAGCCAGTGAAGACAAAAATGCCAAGAAACCACGCTAGCCTGGGAAGCTCATGCTATTGGAGTCTTTTACATTAAGTTATTTTGTTGTTTTGTTTGTTATCCTCACCCAAAGATATCTTTCCATGGATTTTTTTAGATAGAGTGGAAGGGAGGGAGAGAGAGAGAGAGAAAGAGAAACATTGATGTGAGAGAGACACATCGACTCCCCCATGACCCCAACCAAGGCCGGGGATCAAACCTGCAACCCAGGTATGTGCCCTTGACTGGAATCGAACCCATGACCTTTTGGTCCACAGGCCACCGTTCTCACCGTTGAGCCAAACTGGCCAGGGCTACATTCAATTACTTTGCCTGAAAGAATAGATTATTCTCAAGGAGTCTACTGGGGAAACAGATAAATGATTAAGAGCAATCAAGTATCACAGAGCAACGCAGGACGGCTCCGTGATGGAGAGGGAGAACCGAGAGGGTGGTCAGCGCTGCTCAGAGAAGGAGCAGAGAAGCCATCATTCAGGAGGTGACGCTCACGAGTCCGGGAAGATGTGCAGTGGGTGCGCCCAGCAGACAGAGAACAGAGGACAGACCGGGGGATGGGAACCCAGCAGTGAGGGTGAAGCACATCAGGGAGATGTGAGCAGCACTGTGTGTGAGTGTGTGAGTGTGTTACACAGGGAGGGACACGGCGGGAGGAGACTGGCGCGGGTTGGGGCAGCTCCGGGAAGGTTGTACTGTGTTTGGAGTCTTAGCAGCACAACCCAGGCTGAGGAGTGACAGGATGAGGCGTGTGCTTTAGAAAGTTCCCCACGGGCCTGCGGGGAAGATGCTCGGCGGTTAAGAAGGCACACCGGACAACAGCAGACCACTTCAGCTATGGTCCAGACCAGAGTTAGAGAGGGATTGAGCTAAGGCCATAAAAACAACCAGGGGTGGGGGTGGGGAGACAGGGATCTGTGAGATGCTAAGGAGGGAGATGGCCTTTGATGGGATTAGAGGAACCTGGACACCTAAGTGTCTGACCCCAGGAGACCATTCACTGAGATGGAGCACCTGGGAAGCAACTGGAAAAAAGATACAGTCATCGTTGGGGAACAGACAGCTGCTCAAAGGGGTGAGTGAGGACTTAATGGTCTGCTTACAATGGTGTGGACAAGGTTCAGGGAAACCACCAAGCCCCGGTGAGGCGAAGGGCTGGAAGACTGCAA